CATTATTCTGCATGTGATCTCAGAGGTATCATGGCCTGTCTAAAGCGACCTCTGTCCTCTAGATTATAACCTCCAAATGAGGAAAGCAAGGACAAGCAGGATCAAGCTGACAGACCCTCGCTCAGTGTTAGTGTTCGTCTGATGAACTCATACACCCTTTGGTTAGATTTGTCTCTGCTGTGTTGTATTCTGCCAGACAGAATTTGTGCTAAGCTATGATTTTGTGGTCATATGCTCCGGTTTTGGTCTTAGTCTTTGGATTTGGGGAAATCTCATTTTGACCTATTGTTGTTCACGGTCTTAAAATCGTTAGATTCAGAAGGAAAATAAAAATGTCTATTTCTGTTCTTTTTCAGGGTGTCAATGAAATAACAGGTTTCTCTTTCTGGACCTATAAGATTAAATTAAGTGTGTGTGTGCCTGTGTGGGTACACATGTGCATATGCATGTGTGTGTCTATGTGTGTATCTGTGTGTATGTGTGTGCACACATGTGCATATATGTGTATTGTGGAGCATTGTGGAGGTAAACGCACAGTCTCAGGTGTTGATCCTCTCCTCCCTTGTTCAAGAAAAGGCCTCTTCTGCTGTTTGCTGCTGTGTGCACCAGGCTAGCTGGCCTGAGAGCTTCTGAAGAGTCCCCGATCTTCTCTTCCCATCTCCTCAAAGGGACGTGCTGGGATTGCAGAGACCTTTGAGATGCAGTGGCCATCCCAGAAAACGGGCAAGGGCAAGCCTTCCATGCGAGGTGGTTTTGGCTCTGAGCCACACGTCTCTACGTGAGCACAAAGAGTGTTATTTTCAAAGGGCGTTACTCTATCAGTCTCCCTTCCTGTGTGCTCTGGGGATCTGAACTCAAGTCGTCAGGCTTGTGAGGCAAGCACTTTACCCACTGAACCATGGTCCAAACCCTGAGACTTTTGACAAATGTGCTTTTGGGTCATTTAAGCCTGTAGAGCCCGTTCTGCTTTAAACACATGCCCAGTTTCCTGCACGAGCCCTTTGTAGATCTCTGCTATGATAAATCTTAAAGACTGTGCATGAACTCAAATAATCCGCTATTATGGAAGACTAGGCAAGCATGGGGATCAACCTCCACTGCCCAGCAGTGTCCATTTCTGGATGTGTGGCAGTTCCATCTCCGCTAACATCACTTAGGGGAGTATTCCTGTAAATCACAACTCTTAAAATCACTGTCCTCCTTCCTAATCTCAACTCTTAAAATTGTTTATCTTGAAAAAACTTGAGCTCTCTTTCCTAGTTCTGGGGATCAAACCACTCTCTTGAACGTGCTAGGCCAGTGCTCCAGACTTGAGCTATACTCCCAGCTCTAAGGGTTAAATATTTACAATTCTACTTATTTGCCTGGTAATTTCCCTTTGTCCTTTCTTGATCTGGAACTTAATAAAAGGAATCCCACACTAGCTCAGAACTAAGAAATATACAGGTATTTATTAATAGATAAAACTCACAAATCAGGATTCTCTGCCTGAATGATGGATAAAGATGAGATCCAAACAAACCGAACCAGCAAAACCGGGGTCCAGGAGGAAAGGCAGAGAAGAAGAGAGGATGCTTCTGCATCCAGGTAAATAGTCTATGAGGCCATGCCCCAGTAGGTGGGTAGTTGTTAGCTATACACCTTTCTGGCATGTTCTCCCTGAGTCAATTATGCCTTTGATGACTACAGGGACATTGGAAACCTGTGTCAAGTGGTTCTTCAAATCCAGGGCTTTGATTTTCTCAGATTAGGAGATATCTGACCTGAAACCTTCACTCTTGGTTCTCAACGCCTAGAAAAAGAGATGATTTCATGAATCCTCTCTTTCTGTCTTAATAAATCCACGAGAGTGAACTCACTTCTGATGGAATACACAGGCTGTTACAATCTCTGCTTCCAGCTTGTCAGTTTAGCTACACGTTGGCAGAAGTGTTCAGTCTAAGCAGTAGTGGGCCAGGGTCAACCTTCCTGGGCCCCTGCTTGAGAACTGGATGGTGCCTTTGTCGCTTGCTGGGTTATTAATTCTGTCTACTTGCCCACAGCCCCAAGTCCCCTCTCCCTATGTGCCTAACAGTAGGCCATTTTCTTTCCACACCCTACCTATATTTCTTGTCTGTTTTTCATATTAATTTGTGGACGATTTGACCTCCAGCTGCTGGATTCATTAGACATGCATTATTGTATTAGCTACACTGGTGAACCCTCAAACATAACAAGGATTAACAACATTATCTCCTAGTATTTTCCGTGTTGAAAGTAAACCATTAGGTAGAAGTTTAAATGTTTCTCTAGTTAGGAAGTGCCATAAGTCTGGACAGATATTAGTCCTTATTATCTGAGAAATAACAAAGCTACTACCGGTATTAATTTGTAGTGTGGTTTTACTTTATTTTCTATCATTAAAATGTTTTTTTTTTTAGATAAGTGTGTGTGTTTTCATTGTTTGTCCAAAACAGTTGAGACATGTAAACAAATGACAGCCATTTTTAAAGTTTTGACTTGCACTTCCCACAGTGGGAAGCAGGGTCAACACGCTGCCTTTGACCTGGTACCAGTCAGAAGGTGGGAAGGTGTTAATTGCCACAGAGAGTTTTATGGGTTGGTGCTAACATCTCAGCAGGCAGCAAAGGTGGGACAAAGGCCAATCCTGAGAACAAGCAAGGACAAGCGTTTACAGGAGAATTGTCTTCAGCTCTTCACCTCACCCTGCTTTGTGAGCACACTGAGTGCTATTTTCAAAGGGCGTTACTCTATTAGTACATAACTGTCTAGCGTCTTTATTATCTGCATAATTAAAACACAAATACTTGGCATAGCGATTCAGTGAAAGTGCTTGGTTAATATGTTAATTTATCTCTTAAATCTATTCTAGCCACACTGCAATCAGCACTCTTGAGGTTTGGTGAACACAGCTGGATTTTGAGAACATTCCCAGCAGGGTTGAGAAACTAATTGCCCACAGTCTTTATTTAAATTATTTTGTAAAAATCTAATTGCCCAAAGTATTTTCTTAAATTATTTTTTTAATCTTTCAAGTTTTTACATATATACTGAGTTTTTTTTAATGCAACAATTATGTGCCCCAAAATTGATCTTTTCACATTAATTACTGCTGTATCTTGCCAGATTTTCCTGATAGAATCCATGCTGAGTGTTCTGTTTAGGACTTGATTCAGAGCCACCGGGGAAAGCTTAACGATACAACTAAGTCATTTTTTTCTTTAAAAAAAAATGTCAGTCTCTGGAAAATTTTTCAGTATTTTTTGGTAAACTAATAAGGACTTCATGCATTTAAAAATATATTAGAAGCCACATACTTTCGATGTTATTAACTGATGCTTTTTAATGAAACGCTACCACCACCATTCTGATCAGCCTGAAGCCAACCGAGGAAGAAGCATAGGACTGATGGGTTCCCAGGACGTGGCTCCTGATTGGTTACCTGCCTAGGTCAGTTACTGGGATGGATGAGCTGAGGCCAGAAAGTCCTTGCAAACCTGACTGAACGCTGCTGCTACAGAGGAGAGCATTGGGACGTTCATTGTTAGAGAGAAGGAGAAAGTGGGCCTTAACTTATCAATGGAGACCCCATTAGAGTTTGTTTTTGAAAATATTGCTGGGGAAAAATTTAATTAAAACACATCTAATTAATTAATTAATTCCACGTACAGATTGTAATATAAAGTATCATTAGTGTTCGGGGTAGCAGATCCTTCTCTTATGTTAATGTTCTCAGACTGCAGAGTCACACAGTCTGTGCACTGGCCACGAGAACTGACTTCATCATGATTGTTTCAGGCTTTACAACCCCAATAAGTAAAGACTCAAACCCACAGCAAATATTTTAAAGAAACCAAATGTAACTCAGCAAGGAATTACCCTGCAGCTCTTTCTTCCCCTCAACAGCCTCTGGAGCCGCTGACCCCAGTTTTTAGCACATTTTCAGACTCTTAAATAGTAGTAAGTTTAGAATTAAATAGAACATGAATTTTTTTTTAAATTTTACAATGAGCAAAACACAAAAATAACCTTAATATTCTAAATTTAATGTTCTGGTTTGATGTTTCTATTTAAATTGGCAAGGTATTTCCCTCAGTATACTATAAGATTGGCATTTATTTAAAAGAAAGAACTAGGACAAGAGAAAAAATGTTTAAAGGACAAAGGCAAACAAAAATCACTTTGTTTTTCAGGCTGGGGAAGTCTCATGACAGACCACTTGCTTAGTCGGTCCAGGGCCCTAAGCTTCTGCCCCCAGCATATCTCTCCCTCTCTCTCTCTCTCTCTCTCTCTCTCTCTCTCTCTCTCTCTCTCACACACACACACACACACATTGATTTGAAATTTAATATTTTATAATGGGGTGAATAGCATGATGTGGACATAGAATCCTTAGTGCTTTCAAAAGAAAAAATTATTCTAACATTGTTATATTATGTCTGATAATTCAAGTGATTTTTGTAGCCTTTGCTATTTGAGCATGTCCAGTTATTGGGGGAAAGACTTGCAGGTTTTGATGGGCAGTGAGGAGAGGCAGGATGCACTATTCACTTCTTCTTCCTCCTTGCTGCTCTTCTCCTGGAGTCTTGAGTATCCGGTTCTCTGATCCATACATTGTAGGCGTCTTAATAGTGTTTTATATTTAAAACAATATCAGGGACTTGAGCTTCCATACTTAGTGGGGGCAGAGCCGGTGTGAACACTGAGAGCTGAATCAGCTTGTGAAGAGTGTTAAGTGCTTGTGAATTCTGAAAGTGTGTATCCTACCACGCACAGCTCCCTACCACAGTACTGGAACACAGCGGATGGGGAATACGAAATAAGTGTGGCGCCGGTCATTCCCTTTGTGTCCCGGCTGTGTTCTGAAGCTTAGCTAGGTACACATTCAGTTTAGCTTAGGCTTGAACATTAAAATTTGCAGATAGCTTCCATCAAGTGGTAAATAGTAATAAAGTTTTACCAGAAAATTCTGACATGCTCTTCTTTTTGGTTTATGAAAGCGGAAAATAGAAAAATTTTTCATGAACAAGAGGTTGAAAAATGCCTGGTGACCCTCCTGGGATCAGACAGCGAAGGAACCAAGATTGCCGCTTCCCAAGCTATTTCAGCCATGAGCGAGAATTCCAGCAGCAAAGATTTTTTCAACACCCAGGGTGAGTAAACCTGGGACCGCCATGTTTGAAGGTTACTGTGCCCTGGGTTTGAACTCAAGGCTTACACTCGTTTCTCCGCAGGGATTCCGCAGATAGTTCAGCTGCTCAGAAGCGACAATGAGGAAGTAAGAGAGGCAGCTGCCCTGGCCCTGGCAAATCTTACCACCAGCAGCCCTGCGAACGCCAAGTAAGTACAGGGATGTCACTGCCCTGCCCCAGCTGTGACAGTTGACTTTTATATATATGTAATCTGACTTTCATTATTCCTCAGGGTCTCTTATGAAAGTAGTTTCTGATTGGCCTATTTCAGTCCCCAAAATTGGGACTATTGGATTTTGTTGAGAAACTTCAAACAATTATACCCATTTGTCAAGTTAAATCCTTGAATTTGTGAATACCTGCTCCTCTGTGGGGTGTGTGTGCGAGCATGTGTGTGTGTGTGTGTGTGTGTGTGTATGTGTGTGTGTTTACATGTCCATGTGTACAGATGGATACAGAGTCCTGACATCATTCTCTACCATTTTCACTTGGTTTTATTTTTACTATTTTATGTGTATGGATATTTGTCTGTTTGTATATCTGTGCACCATGTGTGCACTCGGTACCCACAAAGGCCAGGAGAGGGAATTGGATGTCTTAGAACTGGAGTGACAGACTCTTGTGAGCAGCCACGTAGGTGCCAGAAATCAAGCATGGATCCTTTGGAAGAACAGCCAATGCTCTTAACCACTGTACCATCTCTCAAAGCCCAAATTCCCTTCATTTTCTTGAGACAGTCTCCCACTGAACATGAAGCTCACCAGTTCAGCAAGCTTAGCAAGTCAGTGGGCTCCAGGGATCATTCTTGCTCCTTTTCCCCAGTGCTAGGATTACAGGCATGTGCACCAATCCCGATACTTTTCATAGGTGCAGGGATCCAGACTCAGGACCTCATGTGTGTGCAGCAAGCGCTTGACTGACCGAACCATTTCCACAGCCCCTCCGCTAACTCATACAGTTTTCAGTTCCGATGCAAATGAAAGTAAGCAATGCTAGAAATATCCTTGACAACATTATTAAAAACAATAGGTAAATGTTAAAGAGTCTCCAGATTCCATTAGAGAAAATGGGAGCATTTAAAAAGGGAACTAAAGGCAATGAACACAAAGGAAGGAGGGTAGGGGAGGAGATGCCTTCTGATTATGAACACTGTTGATGGAGGCCGCCCAGACTCCAGAAATAATCACACAGAAATCTGTATTAATTACAATACTGTTTGACCAATAGCTTAAGCGTATTTCTAGCTAGCTCTTATATTCTAAACTAACCCATCTCTATTAATCAGTACATCATCGCGAGGCTATGGCCTACTGGCAAAGTTTCAGTGGGCTCCAATGGAGGTGTCTGTCTCCTGTGGCAGCTACATGGCTACTCTGTTACTCCACCTTCTTTCTCTTAGCATTCAGTTTAGGTTCCCCACCTGACTTTACTCTATTAAGCCATTGGCCAAAAGCAGCTTTATTCATTAACCAATAAAAGCAACAAATAAATAGAAGGACCTCCCATACCAGGAATACCACACCATGGAATGTGTTTTGTAATCATTTTTTAAATTAGTTACCTAAGTAGTCCATCAGTAATGAGACAAAACTCTGCAATCTTAGCTGACTTGCCAGGGTTCACCTATGTGTAAATAGCTGAATTGGAGACTGAGCCCAGGTCTGTCAGATACCAAAGGCCATGCTCCTTTCTCCATAGAAGGTGATACAGTCTTGCAAGAGAGGGATTTCCTGAACCAAGCTTTCAAAAATAAGAAAATCCTTTCCCTTCCATGCATCTCACTTAGTATGCAAATTAGCAACTATTTCTCATCCTTTTGTGTGTGTGATGTTCTGGCTAAAGTTCCCTTTCTAACTTGAAGCATGTCCTCCTTTTCCCCTCATAGAGCCTTTTTCTTGACCATTCTTCCTCTTTCTCTACTCCCATGTGAGCATTTTATAAATTGTTAGTGGAGTGACTAACTATGCCCTGTGAAAGCCGCCAACACCAAGGGCGCTCCTCTGTCAGAGGCAGTCGGCATGGCTTCTGGAGCCAGCGCATCACTCTTTCCATCCAAGTGCTGGCTTTAGGGTGCCTCTGACCCAGGAAGCAACAGTTTAAAGACAGCAGCTCTACCATTTCAGGAAGTTTTATCAGTGACATTAAAATCTCTCTGTCATATGCTTGGATCTACGTATTATCCGAAATGCTGTTAACAGACAGCCAGAGTGTATGCCCTCCTCCAGAGCGTATGCCCTCCTCTAGAGCGTATGCCCTCCTCCAAAGTGTATGCCTGCCTTCATCTGAGCCTGGCCTCTCTGAGTTCACAGTTCTGCACAAACCCAAGGAGGTTGGAGGCAGCTGGTCCTCTCAGGGACTTGTCTGCTACAACCAGATTCTCTCACCTCTCAGGAGTGTTCTTCATTCCTTCCACCTTTCCTCGCTTGTGTTTGGAAAGGCCTTCACGGGTGCTCTTTGAGAGAGATCTGTATAGTCCTACTTTTTTTTTTTATCTAAAAATATTTCTGAAAGCAAATATTTTTAAGATTGATGTATTTATCATTTTAGATGTATGAGTGTTTTGCGTGCACATATGTGTGCATAGCCACATTCACGACCTTCCAAGGTCAAAAGAGGGCTTTGGGCCCCCTGAGATTGGTGCTGATGGCTGTGGGGTGGGTGCTTGGGATCATACCACAGTCCTCTGTGAGAGTAACAAGTGCTCTACTGCTGAGCCAACTCCCCAGTCCTAAAATAAGTAGTTTTCGGAGTGAGTCAGTCTTGGTATATTTGTGCCAGATGCTGAAAACTAGAATCAGAAAGATCTTATAGCCAACTCAAATCAGGGAAGCCAGCCAACTTGGAGATCCTTCTAGAATGCTAATAACTTGATGATTATAAAGTCAAATTCAACAGAAGTGACAGCAAATGTGATTGGTTATTTTTAATGGAAAATGTTTTCTCCGTTGACTGTGTTTAAACACCAGTTAGCGTAAACCTGGCTTTCCTGGGGTCCACAGAATTCTCTTTTTCGAAGCAAGCTATTTCACAGAGACTCTCTCAGCATGAGCGATTCCGCTGCTGGGGTGGCTGAGTTTGTTTTTCTAATTGCTTTCTGTGGCTCATCGTGAAGGAAGGGGCAAAGCCAGCGCTGAATCCAGGTGCATTTGGGAGCTGTTGGAACACTTACCCACTTACCCGTTTCCAACCTAATTAGTAACAAAGCCCTGGAGTCGCCATAAGCACTGTGGGCGTGTCTTGATGAGTCCTGTCTCCTATAGGCACCTTTTGATGCGCCTAAAGTGAATTTCTAATTCTTTTTTAAAATAATAATTTTTACTTATTTTTGAAATACAATGTATCCTGGTCATATCCACCACTACTCTTCCTATCCAATTCTTTCCAAGACGGCACCCACACCCACACCTCCTTTTCCAACTTTAACTGTCTTTCTGTCCCCTGAGCAACACTAGTGCTGCCCATTTGGCGTGCAGGGTCATCCGCCGGGGCATGGACAACCCTACCAAAGGCCACCCTCCCCCAAAGAAAAGTAACTGATTCTCTCTCTCCATCAGTCATGAACTGCTCCTCAGCTACTGCCTCAGAAGCCCCTTCTTCCTCCATGCTAGAATTCTTAGCACGATTTTGTGCCGATAAGCACAGCTCCTATGGGCTCGCATGTGCAGCAGCGCTATCATACCCAGAGCACAGTGTTCCCTGTTCTTCCCCTTCTCCATGTCTTCCATGCTTTCTGTGCCCTCTTGTGAGATGCGTCCTGAGCCTCTGCTGGGGTAGGTATCTCAGCTAGGGCTGAGCACTCCGTTATCTAGCCTCAAATTCGGGGCATCTTCTGGAGTTAGAGGCTTGTTTTGCAACCTGAGTGATGTATGGGTAAAATGAAATTAATTAAATTAAATTAAATGATGCCAAACAAGAAAAAGAAAAGGAGAAGGAAAAGGGAGAAGAAAGAGGAGAGAGGAGGAGGAAAGGGAGGAGGAGGAAAAGGAAAAGAAGAAATAGCCAGGAGAACTATACTTGACAGCGACTCTTTTTGCAAAAAGGATAAATGCTTTTTCATTCAAATTTTTATGATATAAAAATGGAATTTTATAAGCTATCTATAAATCAATTTTTCATCTAATATATTTGATCTCAGGCTACCATGTGTCTCGTATCTCACATGAAAACACATTTACCTTTAGCAGTGATTTGTAGACGGAGACAGCAAATACCAAGCCCATTCAGGCCCCTTTGTGGACGGTTTGAAACCCCTGAAGGGCTCCAGGACTGCTGGTCGATGGTCTCTGGGAATGTGGCTTCAGGGATGCTCAAGCTTTCTGGACCGTTCAGCCTTTTCTTTCTTCACAGAATAACACTTTAAACAGTTTGCAATGAATTTGAATGGAAAGATTCTTTTTTTTTTAAGACTTATTTATTTATTATGTGCACAACATTCTACTTGCATGTATGCTGCAGGCCAGAAGCCAATTACGGATGGTTGTAAGCCACCATGTGGTTGCTGAGAATTGAACTCAGGACCTTTGGTAGAGCAGGCAAAGCTTTTAACCTCTGAGCCAATTCTAAATTGCTCCCATTCTCCCCTTGTGTTTACCAGGCTACTGAGGCCATGGTGGGTGGGGGTGGGGGTAGGGCCGGAAGGTGAGAGCCCGATTGAATCAGAGACTGAACTTCTCTGAAGAGCTGTTTTCCCTGAACCCTTAAGGGGCATGAAGGCCATTCAGCCCCACTGAGTGCAGATTCTGGGGGAATGGTCTCCCAGGGTTTCCAGAGTTTCTCTGGGCCCTTTGTTGGAAGGCTGCATTCATTCATCTTTAGTTTCTGCTTGGACCTGTCTGGCTGACTCCTTAACTTCCTCCTTGCAAAAATTCCCTTGAAACCCCTGTCGTTCTGTGAATCAGAAGCCTGGGTGCCAAGTAACTAGCCTTATCCAATTTTATATGAAAGCCATAAAGGAGGGTGTACTTCTCAGAGGCCCTGTCTAGCCCACCTGCCAAGTTCTCTTAAATGAGATTGTAGCTTACTTCAATAACACACTTACAAATTAAAACATTGTTGCAGAAAACAACCAAGAGTAAAATAGGCCATAAAATATGTTCTAGAAGTCCCTTCCAGTTCCAAGAGTATTTTTCCTGGAGCGTTTTGAACTCA